CAGCAATTATGCTGAGTCAGGCTTGATTTTTAGTAATCTTTTCCTGTTGAATCAATAAATCAAATCAAATCAATGTCCAAACTGATTGCTTTCCAGTGGCATCAGAGAAAAGCAGAGACTCACCTGGATGCCCTTCTGAGAGGTCACCACAAGCAGATCACGGGAGGGAAGAACACAGAACGCTGCCTGTTCAGAGAAAATTAGTATTTAAAACGATTTTATATTTTTGTTGAGTCAGCAACACAGAATTTGACCCAATAAAATCTCTCAATGAATGTGCAAATTAATCCTGTTGCGTTCAGGTACGTTAAAAAAAATCAGGTCTGGGCTGCAGTCAGTGTACGGAGGAATATTATACAGTAATATACAGTATGGTACTGTATATTATTATATTATGAGTATCATAATATAATAATATACAATATGATACTGTATATTGTTATATTATGAGTATCATAATTTACAGTATGATACTGTATATTATATTATTATGAGTATCGGCCACACCTGCATGATGAGGGACGTGCTTGTAGCCACATTAGGTTCTTTGGACTGCAGCTGGCGGTGGGAGTAGTTGAGGCCGTCCCAGGAGGAGCTGACCATGTTGACCACGTTGGCGTGGACCACCGTGAAGTAGGTGAGGCGCCTCGGAGCGATGCGCAGCACGCTCAGGTTGTTATACAGCGCCGATGCGCTGTTTTTGATCTGGATGCTCTTCTCCTTGTGATACATGAAGGAGCCTTGTTTTAATAGTACAGGTTGTCGAAGAGTACGTGTTGTGCTGCTGGTCTAAAACAAAGGAGAGGTCACAGCAGAAATAGTAAGTTTAAAGCATACTCGCAGTACTCGCAGGGAAACGATTTAGCTGCAAGCTAGGCATGCTGTTAGCAAGAAGCAGAAAACGAGAAAACCTGAAAACATTCCGTACACATTAGCTTCAAATTACACATCGTTTCACTTTGCTCCTATTGTCACATTTCTATTTTTCTTTACACAAGTGAATGAAGCCCTTTACCTAGCGATAACAGGTTTACCTATGCGCAAAGACGTGTATTTCGGCTTTATGCGTCCTCCGCAGCCATAGAGACGACGTACGTTTACGTACTACGTCAAGTTTGCGTGCTCGGTTGCTAAGCAAGCCAAAAGTTTATTTTGAAGGAGTGCAAACAGGGAAGTCCTGTCCTGTCGCCCTATTAGTGATATTTAGAAGTTAGCAAATTATATGCAGTACAGAGAGTATTTCTAACTGTGGATAAATTAATTAGATCAAGCTCAAACGAAGGTAACTACTCTTTTAAAAAGTTTATCATGTGTTTTTGAGGTCATTTTATCAGAGTGGCTTACTCGAAATTATATTAAACTAGCGCTTTAGTCTGAACTGAGAAATCTTCTCAGACGAGTTTGATAGATAAAAAAAGTTGACTTCTTACGAATTCACAAGAACGACCATGCCCTGGATGACAGAACATTGGATGCATGTGGAAAGTTAATAGACAGTGGTGGGCACAGTTCCCCTAAAGCACTAAAGCACTAATAGGGAAACTAATTTTCTGATTGGTGCTTTAGGGATTCTGCTAATTAAAACATGTATTAGTGGATTAGCACTTGCTAAATGTATAGATTAAATTTATAAACACTAACTATAAATCTATAAATGTTATTGATCAATATTAACGTTAACAGCTGAACAGTGAAAGCTGATGCATATTTGTTCATATGTGTGTCACTTATCCACCAGGTGACAATATGTTGATAACGTATGAACCCAAATGTGACTGTGGAATGTCAATGATAAGTCTTCAGACATGGCAATGACTCGTTGTCTGTTGAAGAATGTCCATGGGTTGACTGGGTTATTTTAGTGCTTTAGAATTGCATTTTTGCTAAAACTTTCAGTGCATTAGTGCTTTAGAATTAGCTTTTTGCTAAAACTTTCAGTGCATTAGTGCTTTAGAATTAGGGGACCTAAATATTGTAGCTAGTGTTTTAGGGCTAGTGGAACTAATTTTTAGATTAGTGCTGCCCACCACTGTTAATAGGGCTAAATAGTGCTAGCATCAGTGTGCGCATGCCAGCTGATCTCTTTGTAGACATGCCTATCATTTTATTGTTATAAACATGAACGGTCAGCAGAAAATCCTTATGGCAGTGTAAACTGTAATTGCATCGCTGTTGTGAGTTTACTATGGATTCTCTCTCTTTCTCGTTTTGTATTTTGTAGTTGCAGGAAACTTAAGCCAATTAAGATGGCTCAATTTGCACCCAAGACCAAACCTACCAAGCCGAAATCAAGGTCAAGCATCAAGGAGACAGCAAAATCAAGGTCAACCATCAAGGAGACCACACCTACAGGACATGAGCAGGAAACAGAATATATCATCCCCGGCCGCTTAAGTCAACACCAGTGGAATGCTATGTTGATCCAGGAGGACGCAGACGAAATAGTAGGGGAGGTTATGGACAAACTGCTTGGCAATGTCATGGACCGGTGTTATCAAGTATACATTGAAAGACAGGTAAAACTGAAAATATTTTTTTAGGTGAATTAAGCTCATCATCAAAATAACATTCCTAATACACCACTGGATTAGTTCATTTGTCTTAATTGTACTGATGCTTTTATATTTCCTTGTGTTGTATGTTTTTGTCATTAAGCTTGTACCTTATTCTGCATCTTGGGCTGGGAAATACCTCACGCAGAATGTGGAACAATTGTTTTGCCTGAATGCAGAGGAGAGGCCAGAGGAATTAACTAAGACAGAAGACTCCGAGCCAATGGCTGCGACTCCAGACTCTGGGGCTCAGGGGTGTTTTCCTGTTGTACAAGCTTCAAATCAACCTCAGTGTACCTCACAGCAAGTAATCTTGACGTGTATTTTCTGCAAACATGCTTTTCAGATGAATTAACACTGTATTTATAGTCATATCTATTTATGTTTTTTTATATATATTTTTCTCACAGGAGTTTGATGAGGACCAAGTTCCAGTACAAATAGAGCCAAGTGTCAAAAAGGAATCCCCGGTAAAACAAGTTGAAAAAGAAAGAAGGCCAAATACGCCTTTCAGTGGCCCAGCCTGTGTTGTGCCTTGTCCTCATCCACCTGCAAAAACGAACAGAAAGGAAGAACAAGGAAACAAGCGACCACCCAAGAAAGTTCCTGTCAAAGTACAGCCATCCCTGTCCAGCTCGGTTACAAAGAATAACGAAGAGGTAAAGAGTAACAGCACAGACGATACTGCTTTTAAAGATAAAGCTACATCAGTGTATCTTGAGAACTCTCGGCCTATACCAAAGCTGGATCCTTCTCGGTTGCCTCAACGCTACATTTTCCCAGAGTATGAGATTGTGGATCCCATAAAACCCACCCCCAAAAGACATGGTGGCCTACCTAGACTCGAGCCAAAATCAGACAAGTCGCTGAAGCCTCCGGTCAGCTCCAAGGATCAACCAAAAATGCTTCAAAAGAGAAGTGAGAACAATGTCTGTTTGTCTGAAGATGAAAAGGAACGCGAGGCATCTGGATCTCTGAGGTCGGACATGAAGGTTCTGGCCAAGAGCGTTTCTCTCCTGGACTCACGAGCTGTTAAAGGCAGCCCTGTAAAATTGGTCTATCCTTCAGAATCTACCAAGATGATGCCGATTCGAAGCGATGTTTCTGTTCCGATGTTTTCAGTAGACCAAGTGACAGCAGGTCCACCACCTCGGGTCACTCCACTGATTCAGACTGTGGCAGATAGTGAAGATGCAAGCTCCTGTTTTAGACATGAATGAGCTACAAGTGAACGAGTAAGGAAAGATTACTCAAATACAAAAATGTAGTTTGCTTGATCAAATTTAAAAGTTTGTTTTGAAACATTGTCATCTCAGTTCATTCTTCATTTAGTAAAAAAATTAAAACAGAAAATTCACTAAAATGTACTTGGTCTTATAATCTAGTTTGTAAAAGTTTTTGTTTTGTACCTGCTTATAAACTAAATAATAAACAGTATCATTTAACCCATGAGGGATTTGTTAAAAAAAAGTTTAAGCTGTTCATTAAAACACAAATGTTTATTCTCTGAGACAAGAAACAAAAATAAAAAAATTATGTTTTTTATTGTAATTTACTTACTTTGCCTTAATGATTCTTCAGTATTTTACCTCTATAATTTTGTATTAGCCCATGTCTTGAGAACGATTTGGCGTGTGGATTCCTCAAATCTTTGAAGCTGAAAGAACTCTTGTTGTTTTATTAGGTTAGAACTTTATTTCTTTGGCAGTAAAAACTCAACATGTACATAAAACAATCAAGAAACAAACATTTTATACTAACTAATGGCATACAAAGTATTTTTTCAAAGTATTTTTGTACTTTTTTGTGCTTTCAGTTGTGTAAACATATATACAATAAACTCTGCAAACGTTAAGTCTGTAACTACTGAACTGCAACTTCAACTTGTAAATAATGAACGGGAAAAGTCAGGTAAACAAAACAGAACTACTTGTCTAACACAGGAGAATACGACATGCTCGTGAGGCACATTTTGTACTGACATCCCACAATTAAAAAAAAAGATATAAATGAACGTATTGATCAAACACAGATGAATAGAAAGCTTCTGACTTGACTGGTCAGATCACAGGAATGTCCTAAAATAATTGAACATGGAAGTAACACTCAAAAAAAAAAGCTTTGATCAAAACTAATCACAAAGATTGTGTTGAATGGAGATGTGTTTGTTTATATCTACATGAGATATTCTGAGTTTTCCTGGAGTCACTGACCACATTCTGAAAATTATTCTCACTTTGTAAATGAAGGCCGATTGTTGGATTCTGAAACAATCATTCAACTGTATCCACATGACAAATTCCAGGGTGATAGAACGTTACATATTTGACTTTGTTTTACTGTGAAGGGTTACTATAAGGAAAAATCCAAATGAATACAGCCACTATTGAGACATAACACAGGATGGCACTGATTATGTCCATTTCCTGACAAGTAGTTTTACTTGAGTCAAAAGTTTGGTGGTAAGGACTGTATAGCAAACACATTTACGTCACATGCCTTGAAAATAAACAATTTTACACAGAAATTGACAGGTTCAGTTCATTTTAATTTTCAGTGTCAAGGCAGTTCTTCAAAAGCTCTTCTTTCCCTGGGTTCTTCACATGTTCTTCAACCACTTTGTTACAAACCTGTCTCGACCTCAGTGGCCTCTCGGTTCTTTTCTGAGGCACAGAAGAAGGGCCCGCGGTTTCAGGCTGTCTGGCTTCTCAGCACAGAGCCCTCTGACAGCTGCCTCCGTATGATGATCTTGCAATAACCAACCATCTCACACGTCCACTTTCCAGTCTCTCCCACTGGGCTGCGTTGGCTAAGAGGAGCACTGGGGCAGGAGGAGGTCGAGGGACTTTGAGATAGACTGGACGAGCTTGAGGACGAACTGGAGGAAGTGGACGAGGAGGAGCAACAGCGGGAGGTCTGAGGAAAGAGGGCAGGTGAGGAGCTTGGAGAGTTAACTGGTGTGTTAGGAGGATCCATGACTTTAGAGGCTGGGAAGGAACTCACGGAGAAGTCTGGTGCTGATGTTCGTTTTAGAACCAGCCATGGACCGTTTGGCTGGTTGACATTTGGAACGAGTTTTGCTGTCCAAATGTAGCACTGATCATCCTGAAGACAGAATAAAAATAATAATAATCTTTTGTTGGGTTGAAAATTTTAACAATACTGTTCTAGTTGTATAAATACAATAAAGTATTTCCAAAAACACTCAAACAATGGATAAAATAAAATACTACTAATGTCTGTAATGCTACTTTTGTTGCATGAATGCCTGATGTGTACAATCCATTATTTTCTAACTATAAACTCAAATAAGAACAAATAAAGACAGAATATGCAGAATAAATTATAACATGATAAATGCATTAAAACATCAGCTATCAACAGATTGGGAAAAAAGAAAAAGAATATGTATTTATAAGGGAAAATGGAAATAAAAACACTGAAAATTATGATCTGCCACATTAAATAATTAAAACAAATGTGGAAAGGGCTTACAGTGAGGAAAAAGGTATTTAACACCCTGCAACTTTGCAAGTTCTCCCAATTAGAAATCATGGAGGGGTCTGAAATGTTAATCTTAGGTTCATGTCCACTGTCAGAGACATAATCTAAAATAATAATAATAAAAAAAATAAATAAAACAAATCCGGAAATCACAATGTATGATTTTTTTAAATAATTTATTTCTGTGTTACTGCTGCAAATAAGTATTTGAACATCTGTGAAAATCAATGTTGATATTTAGTACAGTAGCCTTTGTTTGAAATGACAGAGGTCAAACATTTCCTGTAGTTTTTCACCAGGTTTGCACACACACACACACACACACACACA